TTTTCTTTTTTTTTGTAGTTTCTCCTCCTTTTTTCTTGATTCCTTAGTATTAAATTGCAGACATACTTGAAGCTTATAACACAATGGTCACTTTTCCCCAATGGACTCTGGTATTCCATATCTTCTACAGCGTTCTCATCCTTTGTAATAACTAGGTCCAAAATATTTGGTACTTTTGATCCTCTCCATCTAGTGTGGTCTTTCGACATTTTGGAACATGTAGTTGTCTTGTAAGCAATTATTTGCTCGTCGGAGTTATCTTTCTTAGAACATTGTAATTCCCAGTCTTTATTTGGGTAGTTAAAATCCCCCATGGTGATGAAGTGCATGAATTTCATATCTGAGGCCTCCGTCAAAAGGTCCCGCAACTTTGCATTCTTTTCCTCTGAATTTCCTGACGGTGATCTGTAAATCAAACCAACTACATGTAATAAGTAATACTTGTTGTTAACTTTGATTTTAACAAATAAATTCTCTTCGAATGCAACTGATAATTTAACTTCTTCTGCTTGCAACGATTTATGTACATATAAAAGCAATCCTCTTCCTATACAATTGTCAATGTTTATATGAAACATATTATAGTCATTTGTCCAGTCCATTGTGTATTCAGCAGGGTTGGGAATATTTACACTGTTTTTTGCCTTTACCTCTGCTATGCTAATCACTAAAGGTTTAATGTCCCGAACCCTTATTACTTGAAACTCATTAAACTTGTTCTTAAATTGATCTGCATTTGTATAGAAGACTGATAACTTATTTATAGTATGAGCAGGATCTTTGTGTACACTATTTACATTTTTTACAACTCTTACTCGTGACTGTTGATTTTGATCTTTGTCACTTTTCTTGCCCAATTATAATACAATATATTATATTATAATAAATTTATGTCTTAAGTTTAACAATGCATTATATTCTTAAATTAGATAAAACCAACCCAAATTCTCTTCTCAAAAACCTTTCTCATATTATGTTTCTGTTAGTACTGGTAGTTGTGTACCTACTTTTATTTTGGCAGTTCTATTCCCATCAAGCCACTGCGTTATCCATTATCCTATGCGAAGGACTTGAGGCCAACAAATATTGATGGCTCTGGCTGTTTGTTTTTAGAGACTTGATCGTGTGTCTAGTTGATTTCCAAAATTCTGGTTTGACATTCGATTATAACATATGTTGGAACATCAATATTTGTCCCATATCTACCATATCATTATATTCAACTGTTTTAAAAATGGGCAGTGGACTTCCAATATTATATTTGACTTACTATACAATCACGGAAATCTTTGAAATGAATCCACAATTCCGAGATTCTGGTATTGGGAAGGCGTTTTCCAATTGTCTTTAAACCAGTATTAACACTGTGTTGTTATCGTTCAAAAATATGGAAATTTGACTTCTAACCGTGGCATAAAAACATTGGATATTTTAAACATCAAGATAACTTCAGATAATTACATATTGTTAGATCGTTTTACAACAAATAATTTTATGTGATCCATTAATTTAAAACAAATTTAGGATTCTACACTTTGTCAGATGCAATCAGGGACACTATTCAACCTAACCGAGCCATAAATTATTGAAAACATCCAAATGAAATAGGGTTTAACGTCCTACTGTTCTACTCTGAACTGGGCTAATGAATGTGGGCATACGCCATACAGTTTGCTATTAGTGAAATTTTGCCCGGACAGCGGCACTACGGCTTACTCTTATATCGAATTCCAACTGTCAAGGGATCTTTTACGTGAACGCCAATGTGTACACGGGACCTCGGTTTTTCATCCCATCCGAACGACTAGACAGCTGTTCTTGTCAGGCCCTCCGTCCTGTATCACTAACAAGGGAGAACCACGCCGGAAAATCTGGATGAACTTTCTCGGCCAATGCAGGGATCGAACACCCGATCTCCAGACTAGCGTACCGGCGTCTTACCCACTTAGCCAACGTGACCCCCTGAAAACATTCAGCCGAAGCTATTCAACTAAAACGTGTGCTTACATGGTCTTAACTTAATCTATAAACATATTAGTCCGACAGAAAATCCAAATGAAATTATAGCCTATTCTATTGATTTATATTGATTGTTAGGGGTTTCTTTTGTTATTATATGGATTTAGATTTTCTTTTGTTATTATATGGTTTGGGAGTTTCATTTGGGATTTTTTGTAATGATAGTTTAACTATTTAGCGCTGATCTGGTAATTTACTTTTATCTTTCTATCGATCTTCAAATATCTTGGACTTTAAACTTTAGCCATATATCCATGTAAATCAATTAAAAGGCTTGGTTCTTAAACATATATACCACATTCGAAATTTTGCTGACTAAGATTTCAAAATTCACTGTAATATTGTTCACAAGTACAACATCGTAGCATCCCCGACACTTAATAAAAATCGTCTGAGTCTAAACAACGGGGAAAACACGGACAAAATTAACTGAATTCGAGAAAGTACACCTAAGATGTGTGCGCATACTGTTCTGACACTGTACCGTAATTGCACAACCCAACATCTTAGAAGAAGACAGAGCACGGGTCGGCTTCAGTCGTTAATTAACAATATTACTATATGTAGGGACAACAGAAAGTCCAGCCTTTACCTTTAGTCTAATTTATTATAATAAATCAGCTATTAACTGAAGGGAGGGGGTGTCTAACGTTCACACAACACTAACGTGGGATGTAACCATATACTTGTCTTTATTTTGGCTTCAAATGCTATATAAACTATTATATAAACATTTATTCACATAGTAAGCCTATAATCAACTCTCTAGATTATCGGATGGCCGATATTCAAATGAACAATCTAGGGTAAATATCATCAGCCCTTCAAACACTCATAACCCCGCTGACAAACAAACTATCAATGCAAAATATATCTTTTCGCTATCTCTGTTTCAGCACCAATAGTGATGGTTGTTGCTGTCACATTTTCTCATTGGCTGAAGAAGTGGCCACTTTCAGAGTAATCCTGTGCTATATACTATCGATAGCCCAAACAAGCACCGCCCCCAATTGCAACAACTGCTTAAAAATTGCATCTAAACTTTATCATTATTCAAGCCATGCTCCCCAATGTCATGTATAAAAATCAAAGCTTTTAACAGAAAACTAATAACTTTTTTATATAAATAAGCGAAATTTATTTTCAAAACATTATTTTATCTCTCGACACAACCAGTGAAATACATTAAAAACACAAAATATCACAATCATTATTCACCATAAAGCATCTACAGAACATTTAAAGCATTAGACTACTAGACGAAAGATCATGTAGCATACGGAATATTATTAGACAAATTCCAATTTCAAAACGAAACGTATAAGTTTACGAAACGAAATATTTTAAAATGATAAATTCTATGAAGCTTTCCATGTCCTGTACTTAAAAACAAACGAAAACATTCAACATAAAATAGAAGGCAGGGTCCATGTTCAAGCTATACAGATCATTTCCTTATTCTGATTTTACACAGATAAAAATATCTAAATAAAATGTCAATTCCGGACAGAATACAATATGATTCCTCTTTATTTATTGTAAATAACATACATCACGTAACAAGGACAATGAGGATTATTCAGCATCTACAAGACCACAAAACTAAAATTAAATGTTTAAAAAGGGGAATTGAAGCAGTTGGTGTATACATGTGATGCGATTCTAAAAATACATAAGCTGATGAAAACAATCATTTCTTCATTATGCTTCTCGGTTTGTGTCGCTTAGTTGTATCTGCCACCTGAAGAGCTAGATGATTTAATGGTGGTTGTAGTTGTCTTAACGGTTGTACCACTGCTTCCACCACCGGTTGTATGGGAGCTGCTATGGGTGCTGGATGATCCCCCAGTACCACCAGTGACGATGTTGCTCAAGTTGGTAGCACCTTTGGATTGGTAACCAATAGCTTGTTCCACAACCTGTTTCAATCCCAATCTGAAATATAAATGAAAGGGTCAAGTTTGGCACATTGGATGATGGATAAGCTTTAAAGCCAACAAACATCGTTCGGTGGGGGTGTTTTGTAAATTACCAATGTATGAAAAACGTTTAGATATCAGTTACGGGAATGGACAGCAGTACTAATTACAAGATAGTTGTTGCATTATGATTTAAAAGAACGTGAATGCCATTTACCTGTTTTCTTCTCCCTCCAACAACTGTCTGTAACATGCAATTTCCAACTCTAGAGACAATTTGGCGTCAAGAATAAGTTGAAGTTCAGAAAGACATCCTTCGAGTTCGGACTGTAGACGCATTTTGTCGGCGTTATGGGCAGTTCTTTCGGCGTCGAGTTCATTTTCAGACATTGCAAGTTGTTGCTTGAGAGCTGCCTTTTCACTCTCCAAGGCAGCAATCTGTTAAAATAAAACATAACTTCAATAAACATTACAAATCAAACAAGATCGACCCTAACCTGCTTTCAAAGTCCAATGGACGACTTCAGAAAATCCAATCAAAGCGGATTTTTGATTAACTTCAGATATAATGGGATGTCTTTTCCATGCATTTTATATAATCGTTTAATTAATGACCACTAACAAGAAGCAGCCGAGGTTAAATATTTGCCTATGCCCATAATAGTAACTTTTACTTACTCTAGCTTCCAATTCAGCGAATCTTGCGCTTGTGTTGTTGATTTGAGATTTGAGTTTCTTGCTTTCTTCCTTGGCGTGCTGTGTTTCCATGTTATCTCTGACAGCTCCGCTCTGTACTTGTCTTATCTGTGGGAGATATGTTAGGTTATTAACTGAGTAGCTTAAGATTTTTCACTCATTTGGAAAATTTGTTTTTCAGAATTCCTTTTCATATGTATTCATTCTTATGATTTTAAAACATATATCCTTCGAAAATAATAAACTAAGCTCTTGTTGATCAAGATTGTTGGCCATTAAGAACTGGGTTTTAAATGCCTGCATAAAATGATTGTTGGACGTGACGGTTTGGGGGTTATTACTTCAATTCAATCATTGAGTCAAGCTTTAACTTACCTGAGCAGAATATCTTGTTTCCATATCCTGTCTCATCAGATCGAGTCGGTTTTCATATTCGTTCTGAATGTCACGGATAGCCTTAGCCATGTTGTTCTGCCAGAAAGCTTCCAGGTCGAGACCCTTGATCTTAACGGGTTGTCTGGTTTCATTGGGCATCTAAAACAAAATCAAATGTTAAGTTGTTGGAAGCACCAAAACAAGGCTCTAAATGTATATTGTAAATGTATATTGTAAACAGTTTGATTAACATTCTTGATCAAATGGCACCCAAACACAGCTTTAAGTATATATTGTAAACAATAAAACATTGAAATTTGATTAACATTCTTATTTGATAAGGAAATAGACTTGCTTTATCAAGGATAGCTCGTAAGAATTCAACTTCTTCTTCAAGAGTTGTAGCTCGGCAATCAGCTTCAATATGGGCAGCAGTTTCACCATCCAAATCCTAAAAGAAAACAGTATCAAAAATATTTTATCAGTTTTTTGGGGGAACTCCTAATATCAAATATTCAGTTACCTTTTGTAAAATATACTGATTGGACATTGGCAGCTACCCGCGTTCAAGGGTTCATCTGTTCGAAATTTTATTCCAAATTTAATTTATAATTCTATGTGAGTATAGTTCAAATCCAAGCGTGTCAATGTTGAAACATTTAACATGGTCTAACGTCGAGACAAAAATTGTAAACCTACGGTTCTGAGACGTCGATTTTCTTCACTTCTCTGGTTGTTAAGCTGTCTGAGTTTGGCATTTTCATTTTCAAGATTTTCAATTCTCAGCCTGAGTGTGGCGAGCTCTCCCTCATAACCTCCAATCTGGCTGGCCTGGTTGTCGATTTTGGTTCTGTATTCGTTGCAGTGTTCCTCCAAGGTTGAAACTCTAAAATATAGAATAAGTAACATAATTTGTGTGCCCCATGATCAGCTACTATCAAGTGTGTGTTTATAATGTATTATACGCACGTATATACAGTATATAATAGACCAACCGGTGCCATGTCGCATAAAGTGTATAAGTCTGGGATTGTGTCCTTCAGTATTAAAAATTAAAGCAGGAATCGAAAGGTGGGATGCTTGGTATTTTTTTTATTTTGAGATTATTAAATTATCATCTGTCATTTTATAGTTGCAAACTATCCTTTTAAGATTGTATACCGATAATAAACTTTCATATTACTATCCTGCTTAACAGGTTTTGCTTACATATTTGGTTATGTACCCTGTGGACATTACGGCAGCGTCATTTTAACGTTGATTTGCTGACTATTATTAGAAACTTAAGTTCTTATATTTTTCGGCAATTTTTTATGTAACACGTTTGTGGATCCCATTCATTCGAATCAAGATTGAAGCATATCACACGTGAATTGTGGGACCAATAATGATATACACTATACAAAACCAGCTATATTGTTTGCGTACCCTAATATGAAGCTACAAATGATAATATCACGTCTTTCAAATGATATTATGATAAACGAAATACGTTTTCAAAAGCAATATTTAAATACGGGGTACGACTCGAACTGTCATTCCTTTCAATAACTTTGGCTCAGGTCCAATCCGTTAATGTGAATATGTACAGTTTATCTATAGAAATTATTTAACAATGACACCGGTTACAATTGCTTTACGGGGCTCTCGTACCTTACAGTGAACAATGCATTACCAAGAAGCAAGAATCAAATTGCTTGGAATGCAATAAAATGAATCAGGTTTAATCCTGTGCTTATTGCTGGCGGGCCGAGGTGCTTGTCAGCAATTTTTGTCACCGGCCGGCAAAACTACTACCATAATACTACGTTGGAGGTTTTTTTGTCCAGATTTGAGCGATTGCCAAAAGTAAAGATCATTCATGATTTTCAGTAACAAATTAATATATATAAGAGAATACTTCTGCGAGAATTAGTTAAAAATTAATTTAAATCGCTTGACTTTAAAATGAATTTATTTAGCTCCTAGCCATTTTTTGATAAATTACCTACAGAAGTTCAAAGAAGCCGATATTATATAATATCTATGTCAACATAACCGTATGCTGGATATTTCATTGGTTAGCCGTCATAGACAAGTTTGTATCATTCAACAGGCGAGGGAGCTAAAAAAAATGCTTATACAATGGGAAGACTATAAAGGCTTATTGTTATGATATTATGAATTGCTACATACAAAAAAGGTTTCTAAATGACTACACTTGCATAAATCAAAAGATTTATGTGCATGTCGTGACATGTTTATGGGGCTAACACTTTACAGGATACATCCTCCCTTTATATAATCCATGAAAAAGGGGCAACTATGCAAAACGTTACAATATGTAAAATTGAAGGTCAGCCTAAATTGTTACGATTTCCGTTCTCTTTCAATTAGTCGAAAAAAAGACGCTAACTTATAATTGCAATTATGATTTGCATAACCTTTGAAATATATAATCTCAAATAAGAATACGTGACATAAATTGATATGTATCTAATGCTCTTATCACAGCCTCAAAAAGCAATGTCCAATAGATATCCAATGTCAAAATAGCATTTGTAAATTTATCTATAATGCTGCTTGAATAATTTACTCGTACTTCGTTAAATATGAACCACTCCTTTAAATCCGTACCACCCCACCTATATAAAACGGCTTTGATGAACCAGCGCACCCGATGACGGTTTTAAAGCAACGGTTTTAAAATAGAACATCAATGGAAGTAAAATAACACATAGGATTTAAATGTATTTACAATAACTTTTTCGTTCTATTTGTTTAATCATTGTTGACTCAATTATCCAAATAGATATAAAGTTTTCAGTTATGTCCTTTTATGCAAATTGTTAGCCAAGTGTTTGAATTCAGGTACATCGCTCTTCAAACGTGCCTAAAATACATTTTACTTTCATAATCCACGTATGCAAATATTTCTGTCTCTCTCTCTTAAATATAATTTGTGCACTATGCGTGGTTGAATATGACATCGTGGATGTAGACTCGTCTGAATGAAGGATTGTAACACTTCGTCTGAAAACAAACACTAAATTTGACACCCCCCTTGAACTTTAAAGGTGACTGGATAGCGTTGCAGTTCGTTCCATGATTATGTCATTAGATATTAGGTCGTCTGACTAACCGCTTGATTTTACTTTACGGACTCGAATATTTTCTACCACTGACTAAGATCCCAGCAAAGGTACAGATTTACCTGGTGTCGAATAATTGGCTTGTCTTGTCAACGAACTTTTATTATAAAAAAAATGAATACTTTAATCTACTTACTCTCGTCTTAAGGTATCGACCAAATCCTGGAGTCCTGCCATTTTGGCATCATAGCCACCCTTTTCAGCAGACAATTCATCGATAACTTTTCTGGCTTGAGCCAATTCATTTTCATACATATCCCGAATTGGCTTGAAATCTGTAGCTTTTTGGTTTCTGTAAATTTCCAATTCTTGTTCCAGCTGGGTGATGCATGCTTCTAAAAATCGGACTTTTTCGATGTAACTACCCAAACGTTCATTCAAAGATTGCATTTCCTTCTTTTCATGTTGACGCTTGTCTTTCATGTTAGAAACACCTTCATGAGACATGGTGGCATAGGTTCCTGGAGCCAAGTTGAGACCGCCGCCATAGTTTGACTGCCGGGAGTATCCATAACTGGAATTCATGCTCCCTGGGCCTCCTCCACGTTGGATAACAGTGGTTCTTCTTTTAATGTATCCCTCTCCGAATTCTCCACTGGATTCCTGGGATCTTCCAAGTGACTTACTCATGATGATAGGATATTGAATCTACAAATATGAAAAAAGGTCTATATGAAACGGGAGAAGGTCCTCTCAACAGTACTGCAAGCAACCTAATGACAAAACGGCTGACGGCCTGCTGAATTTATATTAGCATATCTTGTAAAGCGGTGGCGGTAGGTAGATATTAAGTTGTAGAACTAGTTTATTGTATCGTGCCCTTTTACTCCACACAAAGCCTTTGAATAGCCGCGTATGACTAATACCCCGACTCGCTTTCGACCGGTCGCTAACTATAGCAAAGAAACCGCTAAGACCAAAACAAGATTGAACAAATTAAAACATAATAAGGGTGTACACCTTTTAGTTACTGACGTAAATTCGTTTCCCCCGCAATAAAATACTAGTAGGCCTACAGTTATTTTTGATTTCGAGAATTTTAAACCTTGACGTATTCTATAAAAGTAAATACGAGAAGTTGTATCCTCATATGAGCATACTCTGGTATACTGTTTAAATACTACACCATGATTGCTTTTATCCAGTAGTATTTTCAGTTTTAAGAATAATGAGGTTAAATCATTTAGGTCGTCGATGGCCACGATAAATCTTTATAGAAATAAAGGTGTATAGGACGTTAAACCCCATTTTATTTCAGTTTAGTTCAGTTGTTACTGCTGCAATCACTATACTATTATAGCAACATCGGCAAAATATACTAAATATAACGTAATATAATTCAGAATTATATTTCTCTTGTATCGTAGTTCTTATCATTTTAGTTTCATCAACAACATCAAGCACACCATAACACAATTTAGAATTTTGGGGTTTTTTTTGAGTTGGTGTTGACTACTGCTTGGAAATTATTACGATGGATAAACTGACTCGAGGAACATAATGCCAAAAAGGGACTGATTTTTTATGCCAAAAAAATGAATAGGGCTTGCAATTACAGCTGTGTGGTATCTAGTGTTCTAGAAAATGTAAACATACTCTGTCCCGTACACAACCTGTAACTAGTTTCAAGCTAACGACCGTTATTCGTCTGAATGGTGTGTATTGATATGCAGAACTATACAACTTCACAGGACTTTTGAGATTTCACTATAATACATTATACATATTTCTGTTTGTGCTGCTAGGAATAAAATATGCATGACTAACCGTTACATTAATTATCTGTCAATATCATACATTTTTTCTTTGTTCATTGAAACAAATGATTTTGCTACCGTGTTTTGAATATGATTGTGTTTGGGTCTATTGGGTATGTTGTTGGAGTGGTAAATCAATATTATAAAGGGGTAGTGATTGATATGCATAGGTAATATTTTCAAATGTGTCAACGTTTTAACAAAAACCATAATATGTACAATGAGAGTATTTTGTTTAGAGAAATGTTTCTTTAATAGATTTTGTATAATACTGTAGCTTCAAAGCTTTTTATCAGAATAATTATTTGAAAGTAACGCACTGCTTCTTTGGTCATTTGTGTTGGAAGAACTGGGTAACCAGACAATCACATATTTTGTTACATAACATTTGGGCAAATCTTAAGACATATATATATATATATATATATATATATATATATATATATATATATATATAAAATCTGGTAAATGGACTGGAAAGTCCGGTTAGTTATACTTCCCAAAACAAGATGAAATAATTTGGTGATATATTTCTTTAGACTTTGAATGAACAATTGAATTTATAGTGGAACGCTAAAGAAATGAGAAATACTAGACCGATTTCATGGAAAGGTATGGCTAAGACAGTTGTTGAGAAAACATTGAACAACGCTGCCATAACATTGATAGTAAAAGTAGCAACTGGCATCCTCCTGGTCATAGAATAAACATATATAATATATATTTTTTTATCCCCAATCGATGACTCGGTGTATCTGGTGCTGGATCACTAATGTTAGGTTCCCACTATCAGGATTCGTGCTACGATTGAAATCGTGGTTTTATTCGTGGAGTTATTGTGGTGATCCTATCGGATCTTATCATATATTGTGGTCAGTCGTAGCAATCGTGTTGACCGTATTGAAACGTATCCGAACGTATCTGTATGTAGCAGATCGTGGACTCAATAGGGACATCGCACGACAGTGGGAACCTAGCATGAAGAGGCTGTCCCGGGATTGATTCCGACCGAGAAAGTTCCCTCGGGATTTTCAAGCCAGATTTACCCTTGTCAGTTGTGCAGGGCGGATGACCTAGCAAAGAAAAGCGGTTTAATCTTTGGGGTGCAACAAACGGAAAAAAATTCCCACATAACACACTGAATGATGTATGTCTGCTTTATTATCCCGATTGGTGCAGAAAAACAGGACGTTAAACATCATTAAATTTCTTAAACGATCATGAATAAAGTCAATATAATGGAGGATATATCAAAATAATTTCGTATGTATTCTATTATACAATATTTAAATACCACTGATGTTTCATTGCAGATAATCTATATTATTTTTACAGATAAATTACTGTTAACAACTTGACATATAGCTTTTCAAAATCGTAAATCAAGTTGATAAACTAGGGCAGTGTCCCACTACGCGACAGTGCCTATTTTAAGGTTTTATTGACGAATCCTGGTTTCTTGATCTGCGTTTATAGACGAGGGGAGTTGGTGGTGGGTTTTGTTTTTCGTGCAAAATAGAAGACTTTGGAAACAATAATTGAAACGAAACCATGAGACTGGAATACCAAGCCCAACGACGTGATCTATGATTGCTGAATTTTTGCAGGAGGGTTTTTTGGGGTTTTTTTTTTTTGAGAAATACATGGTCTCTATCGTCATTTCGGCGTATATACATACACATTGATCTTTTTAAACCGAGAAATCCAACATCCTGTTTGACGTCAATTTTTATTATGAATTAATACGATGACATTGTGATTCAATTTTATTGATGCAAAGCATTAATTGTGATATCACATATGTCTATATCTTTATCTCGCGTTTTGAGTGCCCATCCTGTCGCACCATCTGACGATAAAGCATAAAGCACAATTATGACACTTTTCTCATAAAAAAGGTTGTTTTACAAAACATTTTATGTAGCTGAGCAGGGTGGGGGTGGACCTGTTGCATAGTTTATTAATACAATCTTTTTAGATTCACAAGGATTTCGAAACACGGATTTGTCATTCCGAGGCGCTGCTACGTGAGAAACCAATATGACCATTTACATAACTATTATTTAGATCCACAATAGAATCAACATGTATGTCTATTCGTATCTATTCTTAGAAATAGGACGTGGACAGACAATGTCTAAGTGAAAATGAATGACCTATTATTTTCCTGTTAAATATCACCTCAGAGAAATAATGTGCTGACTTGTCGAATCTTGCTCATGATTTTGGTGGCAACCACTTTTGTTCAGCACCAGTTCAAAGGTTTTCTTTAACTAAGGTCATTGGATGCCAACTTACTTCCACCAAGATGGGTTTTTTTTTCATTTTTGATCTAATGCGAAGGTTGCCGGGATGCGGATCCTCGACTAGAATGTTATGGATTTGAATTCGGGTGTGCGCCAAAAGAATTTTCAGATTTATCTACGCCTGCAGGTGCCTCCATGCTACAAGTGGTGATGGCGGGGCCGAAATGGAAAGAGTGTCAAATGGCTCATCATACAAGATGGAAGCCAGATGAACATCCGTGTACATGTTGGCGAGCACTAAAACAAATCTTGACAGTCGGAATTAATACCACACCCGCTTCCCGCTGTGCAATAACCATGATCATTCTGTAACTGTAAGGTTTAGGAAATTACAATTAGATTGTGATTCCTGATCTTTCAACATTATTCTTTCAGGACCTTTTTAACATTGAGCATTCGTAGTGTCATATAGTTTTTTTCCGGGCTCTAGGACTTCCTCTCAAAATAATTATCCCATCATTACGCAACTACTTGTGTCAAAATGTCAAACCAACAGACCGCCCCATTTCCTGTTCTAATAAGATAATGGGATTTTATTTATAATATTTCATTAAAAGGGCAGCATGGCGGACGGTGAATAGCAGTTTTCATTATTTAATTTTTAAAACATATTTTAGTACCATTTAGAGAACAGCCATACCAAACATCAATGTTTGTTGAAAAGATATAATGATGGCAGAAATTAAGCTGTCCCGAAACAGTTTAGCTGTCCTGGGGAGGAATTCGTGCATAATTACTAGGCTGTAAGTGACGACACGTGGCTATGGTATATAACTTTACAAAACGTTTATGATCATTGAACTCTTTATTGAATATCAGCCAAAATATAATAATAACAAGACATGTATGAGTCATAAGTTGAAGCATTGTTAGATAGCTTGACATAATTGAAATATTGCAAATAAAAATATAATACAATGTTATGTTGAAACATGAACTCTCGCAAAAGCACTGAAAATTGGTAGATTTGTACATGAGTACAATTAACCATATAAGGAGAGTCCAGTAAGCTATGTGTCGTGTAAAGAATACTAAATGAGTTAAGTCATTATTAACATTAGCCCTTGTGTATCTAGAATGATCTATCAAAAATCTGAAGCAATGTCTTTCATATAAATAAAATCTGGAATTATTCCCTTTGAACGAGAAGTCGAGAGTTTGCTGGGTCAATACGCCTACAATGGATCTTTACATGAATATTGGTCAACATGAAAATAAAATGAAATTAGGGTTAACGTCCAACTGGTCTGCTTCGATTGGGCTAATGATAACGGGCATACGCCATAGTGCTATGAGGGAAATTTTGCCCGGACAGCGGTCTACTCTTTTATCGATTTCCAATTGCCAAGGGATATTTTACGTGCACGCCAAGGTGTACGCGGAACCCAGGTTCTTCGTCCTATCCGAACGACTATACGTTGTCCTTAACCAGACCCTCTGTCCTGCACAGGACATTCAGGTTAGCGAACCAACGTCTTACTCACTGAACCACCGTGGATCCTTATCGGACAACAGACTTGGTCTGACCGGTGGGGTGGGTGCATTTTATTTTCATTCGAGCATCAATTTAAAAATTATTTGAAAAATCATTTATTATAACAAAGTTCGTCAATCTAATTGTGACTCAATGTTAAATCAACGAAAAGAATTCAAAAACATGTACAT